GCCATGGTGTCATCATAGCTTTACAGCAACCTCAAACTCCTGGCTGAAGCAATCCTCCTGCCTCAGCCTCCCGAGTAGCTGGGCCTATAGACATCTGCCACAATGCCAGGCTTGTTTTTCTGTTTTTAGTAGAGACAGGGGTCTCACTGTTGCTTAGTGGGTCTTGAACTCCTGAGCTCAAGGGATCCACCCCCCTTGGCCTCCCGGAATGCTGGGATTACAGGTGTGAACCACCATACCTGACTGAGGTTCTTTGTTTTGAGCCAGAGTCTCCTTCTGTAGTCCTGGGAGGAGCATTGTGGCCCCAGCCTCATTCACAGCAACCTCAAATCTTAGGCTCAAGTGACCTCTTGCCTCAGCTTCCCAAGTAGCTGGGAGTATAGGCACCTATCACAGTGTCTGGCTAATTTTTCTGTTTTTAGTAGAGATGGGGTCTCACTCTTGCTCAGGCTGGTCTCAAACTCCTGAGCTCAAGAAATCCACCCACCTTGGCTTCCCAGAATGCTGGGATTACATGCTGAGCCACTGTACCCAGCCTGGGGTGGGGGGGTCTCTACCGTGCTCTAGTGCAGCGGTTCTCAACCTGTGGGTTGCGACCCCTTTGAGGGTTAAATGACTGTTTCACAGGGCTCGCCTAAGACCAACCTGCATATCAGATATTTACATTATGATTCATAACAGTAGCAAAATTAGTTATGAGGTAGCAACGAAAATAATTTTATGGTTGGGGGTCGCCACAACATGAGGAACTATGTTAAAGGGCCATGGCATTAGGAAGGTTGAGAACCGCTGCTCTAGTGGAAGAGGAGAAAAGGGGTAGAAGGGAGGGGCAAGGTTGTTGCCAGGCTGGGGACTTTAGAGTTTTTTCTCAATTACTGGGGAACTGTGGAATATTTTAAAAAGAGACGAATCTGGCAGGGCTCTGTAAGAGTAAAGGGATGAGTAGGGACTGTAGGCATTTTGATCTCATGCTCTGAACCTCAGGCTTCTCTGCAGAGTAGGTGCTCTGCTCAAGTGCAGACTTGGAGGCCTCTTGTGGGGGTTTCTGCACAAAAGCCTCTCTGAAATGTCACTTCACCATAGCCAAATGCCATTGCCTCCTTACCAGTTGGGTCATTGAGTGTGGACAGTGGAACTGACAGGAACGAGGGAGGTACTTTTCTGCCGCATTCTGAGCAGGGAGAAGGCAGTGTGCACTGGCAC